GAGCAAACTCACCAGAATAAGCCTATCACTAACACAAATGCAGAGAGAAGCTGAATGTGAGATGTAGCAATGGCCTCATTGTTACTTTTGATCTGGCTAGGGACAGGACTCTGCCAGGGCTGCCATAGCAGGTCCTGACAGGGTTTGGAGAGGAAACACTGCCGCGTAGTGACAGAAGGCAAAACACCAGTGTGATTGGGAAATGGCAAGGCCGGAGCAGAGGACGCTGATTGCCCCAGGTGCAAACTCAGAACTAAACTGCTGGGTACTTTTCCACAAAGAGTAAATGCATATGTCCTTTTGAAAAGAATTTAAATTGCACATTTAAACCCTTTCAAAATCTTTTACATCTACCAGTTCAATCATCTCACCCCCTGGAAATCTGTCCTTAGAAAATAGAGAAGAGGAACATGTACAATACTGCTCTTTGGAACATAATTTATTTATTTTACCTCTTAGATGAACCTCAGGCTTGTAGGTTGGGATTCATCATAATCTTTCATTTATCACACGCTTTCATCATTAGTCAATGCTTGACCCTTTACAGTTTAACATATTTCTTTTAATAAGTATGTTAATAATATAGTAGGCGCCCAGCCATAAGAACTAAAAAGGAAGAAAGTGCATAGAAAGAGATCCACAAAGAAAAGGGGCTTAGACACATGACAAGGGTGACATGGCAGGTGACTGTAAAAGGAAGGTCCACTTAGAACATGGGCCTAGAGAGGGACCAGCAGATGGCATAATGGTTATGTTACTGGACTCCCACATGGCCAACCATAGTTCGAGTCCCAAACCTAGCAGCTTAAAACTCAACACCAGACACATATGTGTGCATGCCCAAGATCCCGAGGAGAACGGAGGAAAAGGAATTGTGGTGTGACCATCCTCTCAAGAGGTGATTTCTCACTTTCTGTTTCTGTCTCTCTCTGTCTCTCCGGCCAGCACATGTGTCCTATTGCAAAAATTTCTCTAAAAAAAAAAAAAATTAAAAAGGAAAATGGGCCTAGAAACACTGATTACTTACAAGAAAAAAAGACACTAAAATCTACCTTTTTCATACACATTACACAAAAATAAACTCCATATATTTTTAGATCTCTGTCAAAAGCAACACATTTTAAAAATGTAATAAAATAAAGGCACATTTTTTTTTCCTGACTTTGGAGTAAAGAAAGGAGATACATAAAACATTGACCGTAAAAAATACTGAAAATTTAGAATGGAATTAAGAAGTACAGATTCATTAACAGATACCTTAAGGAAAGTTTAGTTGGCAAGCTATAGCCTGCGAGAAGATATTTGCCACAAGTCTATTTTTAAAGGATCAAGAATATATCATTGACAAAGGATTAAAACTTTCTATCAAGAGTGTGTAAAACTTGCCTACAAGTCCATAATAAAAAAGGACAAAAAGCAGTAAAAGTAAATCCAAAGGCACAGCACAAAACATGAAACACAAATGGCTAGAAACATCTAAAGAAATTCTGGTATATAACCAGGAAATGTCAGTGACGTCTAAAATCAGGAAACTATTTTACATGTAATCCATTAGACAAAAGTCAAGAGGTCTGGTATTGGGTATGATTTATTCAACACCCTATCAATACAATTTCTTCTCTGCTGCTGCTGGGTGGATAAATTGGGACCACTACTTCTCACCCCTCTGACATGATGTGTTAGAGCTGAACATGTGTTTATCCTACAATCGGGTAATTCTACCTCTAGATATATGCTCCCCTCCAAAAGATATGTGGCACTGTTGGGGAAAATAAAAACTCTGTTTATATTACAAAAACTGTAAATAATCTAAATGGTCACGTCAAGAGACGAAATAAGTAAATTGTAATAAATTCATATAAGATACTGCTGAGCATTAAAACATGAATGGGTTACAACCATATGCAACAGCACATGTCAATTTTAATAACATTGTGTTGAGTCAAAAATGTAAATACCGGGTGATAACATATGGAGTGATATTTTAAAATAAAATTTGATATAATCAAATACCATATGGCTTAGGCATAATAGGCGGTAAAGTTTTTAAACTATGTGAGTGAATAGTAAACACAACATTCAGGACAGCACTTGTTTTTGATGAAGATTCAAAGGATGGGACATGGAGAAGAAATTTATAGTATTATTAATAACAACCCCAAACCTGTGCATATGAGTTGAGAATAAACAGTCAGACTGAGGATGAAAGTCCATCCTTTCATAAATTTATACTTATGTTACATGGTTGTTATATGACATTAACATAAAATTGAGTTGTTTGTAATAAACTGTGTAGAAACTCCTTACTTTAAATGCATTAGTCTGTCATTCTTGTAGCACACCTTCAGAGTGTACTACAAGAGGGACCAGCAGTTGGTGTAATGGCTATGTCGCTGGACTCCCATGTAGCCGACCGCGGTTTGAGTCCCAGACCCGGTGGCTTAAACTCATGCCAGGCACGTGTGCTTGTGTGCCCAAGATCCCAAGAGGAGAATGGAGAAAAGTGGAGGAGAAGGGATTGCAGCATGGCCATTCCCCCCTGGGGTGTGATGTCTCTCTGTCTTTCTGTCTTTCTGGTGAGCGAAAGCACCCTATAGCAAAAACCTCTCAAAAAAAAAAAAAAAAAGAAGAGAGTGTACTACAAGAAAGTTGCATGAGATCTTTTTGTATTGTTTGGTTAATCTGTATCTCCAGTGCCTAAGACAATGCTTGGTATATACATAGTACTCAACAAATATTATCAAATAGATAAACTAATTAACACTTGATGGTTATTGGGTAGAAATTAGGTAGCAATGGCAATGAGGTCTATTGAAGGATGTTATAGAAAAAAGCCAAATGCCAAGTTAAATTTATACCATGATCATTTATAAATTAGCTCATATTTTAATTCTCAGCATGACACTTACCAGTGTCTGATGTTTTCCCTTATTTATTTTATGTATTTGATTATTTATTAAAATTATGCTAACATGTGAGGCACACAAGAACAGGGACCTAACCCTTTTTTGCTCACTGTAGAATCCTAATGCCTGTAACAGTGGTGGCCAGAGAGTTGTTGTCAACCAGCATTGTTGTGTGATTGAAAGGAAGAGTACGTGTGGGCAAGGACAAGGAGGAAAACACACTCACCTGTACACACAGTGAAAATAAATGACCTACTTTATTGGAATTCTGAACTTTTTATTTGGTTGCTTTTTAAAAATTATTTTTGTGATACAATGTGTGCCAGGAATGGAAAAAAAAATCTTTGCCATGCTCTCATCAGTTTGAAAAATATCCTTGCCAGGCTCTGCATCAGTATCAGTATGAAGCACAGAGGTCACCCAAGGTACTTTTTACCCCAGAAGTTGGAGACCTGAAAGGATCTTGCTTGAAAGTCTTGCTTTATAATTTACACAGTATATTCTTGGTCTTTTTATAATAGCTCATAATGAAATGAACTACTGTAATCTTTCATATTTTCTGTCTTTCCTCATTTGAAAAACTTTCTTTATCCTCAGACATCTCTTTAACATTCTTATCATAAAAATAGCCTTAAAAGTTTTGAACTGTAGAAAGGAAATCAAAAACCCTACAAAGGGCTTTTTTCTTGGTAGTGTAGACCACATTTTTGCACATGCAAGAATAAGAAGACTTTGTTAACCAGTTGTCATTTTTATCCATCATCTTAGAGAAAACATCCCTATACTAAATCACTCTGTTTATGATCATTTGCAAAAACACGTTAGGATCCAACAAGCTAATATTGATTGCTCACTCCCAAACTGTTTCTGAATCGTGTTTCTGCTTGTTGGTTGGGACTGGAATATGACGTCATCCAATCTTGGATGTTGCATTTGGCGAGATTCATGGCAGGCCATAGTAATGGGATATTTTTTCTACCACTTTTGTTTCAATAGATTTATCATGTGTTCGGAAAAAGAATGATAAAGGGCCAGCAGGTGGTGTGGTGGTTAAGGTGCTAGACATTCCCACATGGCCGACCACGGTTCCAGTCCTAGACCTGGTGGCTTTCTTCCTCATATTCCCTCTCTCTCTCTCTCTGTGTGTCTCTCTCTGGTCAAATTAAAATAAATGAATGAATAAATAAAATTAAATAAATAACTAAAAAAAGAATGATAAAGGATGGATTTCTGGTGAAATAAACCAACGCCCAGTGTTTCTAAGGCCTTGAGATGTGTAACCACATCCCATGGTATATTTGATTTACACATACACTTTTGGCTTGTATATATGTGTATGTCACTACACGTGGGTATGATGAGTTTACTTACATGTAGGAGAATATGTTTTAATATATTTTGTCATTGTCTTTTTGTTTATCATCTCAAAGAGGCCTAAGCTGATATTCAAGAATATTAGAGTCTCATTCTGCTTCAGTTTCCAAATTTCCTACTATCTGCAACAGAAATGCATATTTTATTTAACTACCTATGAAATGGGAATATTCAATCT